GAAACGCTCCGCCGACCCGGTATCCCATAGGCGGCCTTCGGCCGCACAAGCCACATCCAGGAGCCTCGTAGCTGTGGCTAGCCTTGGCTGTGGCCGTGGCTGTGGCCGTGACTTATCATTCGCTCAAAAATCGACCAAAACCCCACTCTCTTCAGGATGCACCCAATCAACATCTACCGAATCGACCAGGGTCCTTCCTACTCCGGTAATTCTCAAATCCCAAATAGGCAATTTCCATTTCCTAATCCGGACGAGCTCCCATAGAAAAAAAAATCGACACAATAACCCTTCGTAAACTCAGGGCATTGGACCGTGCTTTTAACATCAATAATGGAAAGCAACTCGGATTGGAAGTAATCGTAACTTACCTAAAGCACCAAGTCAAAAATGTCACTTGTTGTTACCGCTTTTTGAACCTCACCTCGTCACTCTCTTCATCGTGTGTTAGGGGCTTTAGTGAATGCTTATCCTCGCCGCTCGTTTCCTTTTCCCCTAAGGGCTTGGTGTTTTGTCGACCGCGAGGTTGTATGAACTGCCATAATGACCTCCGCAGATATTACCAACGATCACGATGAATCCCGCCATGTAGACGAGTCTTCACCCCTACTTCGGAATGGCGTCGAGGTTGCTGGGGACGTGTCTGTTCCCTCAGAACCACCGCACTCTGTGCCCATAAGGCATAAGCAGCGCATCATCATCCTCTTGTGTGCTTTTGCCTTTACCATGATGCTTGGAGATAATTTACAGCCAGCCGCGCTGGTTCAAGTCTTCGAAAATGTCATTTGCGATGACTACTATAAGACAAACTCATTACCTCCAGCCTCTAATGGTACCTTGCTCAATCCTTGCAAGGCGCAGCCTATACAGAAGGAACTTGCCCTCGTTCGCGGCTTTCAGCAACTCGTTCCCATCTTCCCGTCGCTGCTGTGCACCGTACCTTATGGGCTGCTTGCGGAGCGTATTGGTCGTAAGCGTGTGCTCATCATGAGCGGTGCTGGTGTTTTTTCTGCGCTTTCTTGGGTACTCGCTGTGTGCTACTGGCGGTTTGCTTCTATCCGCTGGGCTTTACTGTCGGGCGCCTTTCTGTTCCTCGGCGGTGGAGATGCCGTCATTTCCACCATTTTGCATGTCATGGTTACTGACACCGCCGATGATGCTGAACGCGCCCAGATTTTCTTGTATCTCCACGCTGCCGACGTGATTTCGGGCTTCTTCGGGCCCGCCATCAGTGGTCCGCTGATGGAAAAAGGACATACTTGGGTTGTTTTGCTACTAGCTGCGGGCACGCTTTTTTCTGGAGCGTTCCTGCTTACGATATTTATTCCGGAAACGCTGAACTTAAGGAAGAGGTCTACTGAGCACTCTGCGCTACTATCTGACTCTACGTCGCCACAAAGCACGGACTCGCTGCGTTCTGAATCACCGACACCTACGAAAGTGTCCAATTCTATCATTGGAGAAGCATCTAACATACTAAGTCCTTTACTTAGTGTGCTAGCATCGAACCGACAAGCTTTATTACTCCTTCTGATCTTCTCACCTCAGACTGGAGCTCGAGAGCTTTTTACTCTAATCGGATTGCAGTACACCAATGCTAAATTCTCTCTCTCATACGCTCGTGGCAACGTACTTCTATCAATTTTTCAAGGTGCACAAGGCTTATTCGTTCTTACGATCCTCCCATTGATCACGCGTCTAATCGCCGATAAACGGGGCTGGTCCGCTTGGGCGCGCGACCGCCTATATGCCATCGTGTCTATTGCCGCAACGGCATTGGGCTTGATGGTTATAGGTGTTGCACCGGCTTTGGTTATCGAGGCCCTCGGCCTTCTGTTTGTGGCAGTTGGCAGCTGTTCTACGGGGCTACTGATGAGTTTGCTAGGTGGAGCGGTGCGGCCCAGCCAGGTAAGCGCAGTCTACAGTGCAGCGCATATGCTGAGTATCGTGGTCCGGAGCGTGATAGGACCAGTGCTGAGTGCGTTGTTGGTGACGGGTCTAGAGCTAGGATGGAGTTGGATGGGTCTGCCGTTTGTGACGATGGCGCTATTGATGGCGGGTGCGGCAGTAGCCAGTAGCTTCATTCAGGCAGAGAGAGTCACTGATCTTGACGAAGAGTAATACATACCCGCTCCCGGTTCCTTCGACTAACTGCCTAGGTACCTGATGTTTTCAGGGGTGATTTATTGCTAGCTTACGCCCCCGGAGGGGTAACATTATGTACAAGGGTTAAAGGTCAGGGGAACGAATCGGGGCCATTTCCACAACAATCTGCTGACATACGCCGCACTACCAGCCCGTGAATCCACCTTGAGATATGTAGACATTGAATGAGGATGACTGGATTGTAGCACGTTATTCGCCTGCTGAATTAGCGAAGATCATCTAAGTTTTCATATCGCCGCCTCCCATGGAATTAATGCATATCAAGGATTAAGACAAGATAAGGCTTACGGTCCGCACAAAATACTACCGTAGTATCACGCAATATTTTACCTGAATAATGTGACATGTTGTCTCGTACTTTTACGACGAGCATATGCGGCGGCTGGGACCGTAACGGTTCCCGAGATAGGTGGTGTACGGTTAGAACTGTGGATATTAGTTGGGAATCACTTTAACCATATAGGTTAGGTAGGTGCTTACATGCCTCAGAAGTCTAGGGCTGGCCTTATATCTCCCTTCCCCAGAGGTCCACTCTGCTACACGGCATTTCGTTAGCGGTGGCGGTTATATTAACTAGGCACTCACTGTAGATATCTGTATCTACTTACTATGCATCCTACGAAGTACATACTGACTCGTACCAGGGAATTTTGAATCCACTGACCCACCCTCGCTACCAACAGGATCTATGCTTGATTGAAGGCGGTCTTCTATGGTCCTATATATATTACGATTATGGTATGGGGTTATACGAGCACTGGTCACATGTCTTGCTTTGGTACTAACATAATGGATTTTGGTGCGACGACGACGGAGGGTTCTAGTGATAGTCAAAGCCCTACGGAGCTAACATACCCTTCTGTAGGGCATTTTGCGATATCGCGGGTCCTCATAAGTTTAGATAGTTAGGTACCTGTGAAGATATGATTCTTAGCTGACTTAAATGATCGAGTAGCTAGCTTAAACGAATAATATATGTCGCTTAGGTATAGCTCTTTAGGTACCTATTAAAACCGTGCTAGGGGATTATGATATATTCTCTTCGTTGATAGTTTGGAGTTTTGCTTACGCTTGTCTCCAAGTCATTTGGTATTCGGGTATATTTTCTAGCAAGATAAATGTGAAATGAAAGTAGTTTTTAAAAACTGTTGGTTTTTTTAACGTAATTTATTTTTATATGGTCTTTTACTTGACAGCTAGTTAACCAAGAAAGCTCGACGTTGCTACGTAATATTCTTCAGATCCTAGTCACAAAATGACTGATTCACTAGACGGGGACCATGGACTTTGAAATTTCCATTGATTGTAGGTCCCTTTCCGAGTCATATGAAATTGACCCTTAAACTGGTTGGACTTTGATCTGCGTTCAAGCGCTCTAAATCTTGCCCTCTGCCTTGAGCTTATCGAAGAACTGTGCTGGTGGCTTGCCGTCGATCATGAGGGGTAACTCAGAATCGCCCTTCGCCCTGGCCCTCTTATACCCTTCGCGCTCAGTGGCGCGCTTGAGGTAATTCAGAATATTAGGGTACTCCGAGAGGTCGTATGGGAAGAAAGTTCTCATGGTCGTGAGGGGAAAGACGTTCATGATGTCAGCGGCCGTAAATTCAGTGCCAGCTAGCCACTCGTTGTCTTTGACGTGGCTGTCAAAGAATTTGAGGAACTTCGCCAGTTGCGAAAAATGGCGCTGAGCGTGAGGCTCGCTCTCGTCTACGTGGCAGTGCTTCAGCACCATCACACGGCTCATCTGAGGGTGTAGGTTCCCGTTGGCGAAATGGAACCAGTAGAGATACTGCGCCCAGTCTTTGTGGTCAGGGCCTAAGGCCAGTCTACCATTGCCGTATTTTTGTATTATGTACTCAGTAATGGCACCGCTTTCTCCGAGTGTAAGAGATCCATCTTGGATCACGGGAGCCTGTCCGATGGGGTTGATATCCTTGATAGACTGAGGACTGAGGAACGGATCGCGCTTGTGGATCACCAGCTCGTAGTCAATGCCCAGCTCTTCAGCGAGCCAGACTATCCTCTCAGATTGAGAGACTTGGAGATGGTGAACTTTTAAAGTCATTGTTATGATGGAGTATGACAATGTAGGGATGTTTTCGAAAAAGGGGGGAGTCAAGATTATATGGAAAGATTATTGTTGGAGATAGATGGGAAGTCATGCTTACGGGAATTCGATCGCAATATATTCTATAACCTCACTCAGCACTAGTAACGTTACCTTCTACCATTCGCTGGAGGAATCCCGTCATCGGGAATACCCCTTGACCTTGGCCCTGGCAGAAGACGCCGTGCATAATGTATCCTATGTGGAGAGGAGATTCCTACCGGAGACGAGCTGCATGCCTACTGAGACTAGGGCTCCTACGATGTATAGCGTGATATTCTACAGGTTTTATATATGCACGCCGGCGGGACTGAGCGAGATATCTTGATTTGAAAAGCTACGGAAGTGATATATCACGGTGAAGAGTCTGGATATCATCACATCTACCGAAGGCGGAGACAGCCATGGAACTACACTTCACCGCGTAGAAGATGATAGAAAAGTAATCCGTATCTACCTAGTCATATTCGAATATTCTATATTTCTATACATGTAGAGATTCGTCTAAAGAGTTAGTTAATTCCGGCCGTTTTGTCTATGTACTGATTCCTCCAAAGAGCATACCCCGTTTGTCACGAACCTAGGGAACCCCTGAGCCCCTATTTTAGAGCGTGTAGCTGCATTTGGCTAAAGCGGCATCAACGGTAATAGGTCCCAGTACAGCCTCCTGAGGCAGTTTCTAACTGTATCAATATCTGAACATAGAAGAATTTAAGAGCAATTTGCAAATTGCCATAATACATGTGCTACTACACCTTGCTAACGCAATGGCGACAAATCTGTAGACTCCAGAGGCCTCCACAGGATCTGGCCTGTTCTAACATTCAACCAGTCGTAATATCAAGAATTTCACCCTCAGAATACATCCGTCAACTCCGAACAAACTCCTTCAATCAACTCATTTCTTACATCTTCCGCATATCCAGATCCTGCAATAAGTCTCACCGTGAGCGTACCATCGCTGCTCGGGATCGCGAAGATCTCCAAGAAGTTAGCCGCAAACGGAATATGGTACATTTCTGGACTTCCTAATCCGCCCTTCGCGCCGGGCAGATCTAGTTCAGGGTTCTCGTCAATGTTCTGGTACTGCGACCAGCAACCAAAATCTTTTGTGTCTTGCGGCCAGTCTGTGCAGTGCTTGACGATGTCCAATAGACCGGTCGTTTCGTGTGCAATGCTCTCAACGTACTGCTTTTGTAGGGCTGCAAGTTGTTCGGATTTGGTCTGACCTGGAGTAAATTGTACACGGACGGGAATTCGGTTCAGGCAAGGACCAACGACATCCTGAAGGGAAGCAGGAACGGCTGCGCGTCCGGAGACAACGCGGCCGAAGATAACGTCCTGAGACCCAGTAAGGCGACTGAGGACAGTGGCGCAGGCTAGTGTGAATAGAGAGGCTTGTGTAATTCCAGAGGGAGTTCTAGGTGTAGGAATAGAGCGTTTAAGCACAATAGGCGGACCATCCTGTGCGGGCGACGCCGAGCCGTAAGGTAGCGTGGTAATCGAAGAATTTTCAAGGGCCTTGCGCCAATAAGAGTAGCTCCGTGCCTTATTTGATTGAGTGTGGTTCACGTATTGTCTGAAGTCTTTGATCTCCGGAGTCGAGCCATTGTAGATACCGGCCAAAACTTTCAAGGTTTGTCCTATGCTGATACCGTCATAAACCGCGTGTGACCTGCCAAAGGCAAGCTTGGATTTTCCGTTCTGCTCTTTTATAAGCGTAAATTGTATCAACGGAGCTCCTAGAGAGATGGGAGAGTTGGTCTCTTCTTCTATGACCTTGTCAAAAGCAATTTCGGCAGAATCCACATCGTTGATGACGTTGATGGTAGGCTTCCACGAGTCAAAGACGGCCTGGAAGAAGGAATCACCAGAGCGAATAAAGGCTGTTCGATAGATGTCGCAGTGTTCAACCAGTTTTTCAATGCTCTGGATAAGGCGCTGTTCATCTGCAATTTGGTCAAAGTCAATATAGCTGTAGAACCAAGACCGTCGGGGTGTAACAAGGTTATCTTTGAGGTAGGCAGATTGCATGTCTGTTGTTGGAAGAACATCAATAAGTTTTCCACGGCCGGGTAGAATTTGCGGTATCACTTCTTCCTCAATGAAAGCTCTAAGATCTGGCACGTCTAGCAAGCCAAAAAGCGATTGTTCACTTTCATTGAAAAGGTCGGCCTCCGAATCCGTTAGGAGAAGATCAGCGATCCGGTCTTTGGTAAGGATATCTGCGACCGTTAGGGGAATTCCTTCGTCGCGGGCGATTGAAGCCAGTCTCATGGCGCTGATAGAGTCGCCACCAAGCTGGATGAAGTTGTTGTCCATGCCAAAAGATTCCCCGCTCCAAGAAAGCACTCGAGCAACAATAGCATGGAGCTTGACTTCATTGGGGGTTTCTGGTGCACGTCTTCCAATGCTGTCTACGCGAAGGAGATCCTCCTTTCGCATGGCTAAAGCGGCTTCGCGCAGTTTGCCACGGTCGACCTTTCCTGATGCTGTATTCGGAATGCTGTCCACGATCATATAACCATTCGGAATCATGTAACCTGGTACTGTGGTAGATAGAAGACGGTTGGCAGAAGAAGCAAGCTCCTGCGCGTAGACATACGCCTCCGGTGTGCCAGAAACGATTCCTCCCCGGGAAAGCTTGATGAAGGCAATTAGAGCAGCTTCAGTAGAACCAGATGGCCTGATGATGTCCACAATGACTTGAGATGCAATATCCTTTCCGATAGCATCGTGGACATGATGCTCTATCTCTTCAAGCTCGACACGCTGTCCACGAATTTTGATCTGGGCATCCTTTCGTCCAATATACTCGACACTACCGTCCTCTTCGTACCGAACAAGATCACCTGTACGGTACAGACGTCCACGGTGGCCGGGGTATCCAGGGCATCCCTGTACGAGCCATTGTGGATCTTCGACGAATAATGCTTTCGTTTTTTCCGGCTCGTTAAGATAGCCTTGGCCGACAGTAGGTCCTTCGATCCAAAGCTCGCCGATATCGCCCACAGCTGCCAATGAGTGGCCACGCTCTGGTTCGACGATCCAAATTCGCGTCGCGAGGGCCTTACCAATAACGATACGTTCACGTGCGGGATCGAGTGTGGTATGGATCGCAATGGGCGTGCACTCAGATGGACCGTACGAGTGAAGGAGGATAGCATGATCTTTCCAATAGTCAATCTCGTCACGTCCCAGTTTTTCACCACCGAAGTTGATAACTTTGAAGTCTACTCCGTGCATAAATCGGGAAACTGAGGGGATCATGAGCGCAGAGTTTGCACCCCTGCGAGCAACTGCTTCCTTGGGCTCGTTTTGGATTTCGTAGTTAGATGGGACGCAGAGACATCCACCTCCGCAAAGGGTGTATAGCACATTAAGCCAGGAGGCGTCGAAGGCGTAAGATGAGAAGTCGTATGTGCGAGTTTCGGGGCTATATCTGAGCGCCTCTTGACCATATTTAATAGCGCTTGCGAAGTTGGAGTGACTGACGATCGCACCCTTGGGAACACCTGTCGAACCGGATGTGAAGACCACGTAGAGCCAAGTATCCGGGTCTACATTCGGTAGAGACGGATCTCCGGGGACTTCAAATGCAGGGACGTGGGTATCACTCACTACTATGATCTGTGCGGTCGATGGGGCTACTTCTCGTGCTCGAGATTCCTGCTCAGCGGAAGTTATGATGACTTGAGGCGAAGTAAGGTCCATGACAGTCTGCAGACGGGCAACGGGAAGAGAAGCGTCAAGCGTAACACAAGTGCCGTTGGCTTTCATGACGGCAAGTTGGGAGGCGGATGTCCATTTTGACTTTTCAAAGAACAAGGGTACGATGCGTTGGCCGGATTGTGGGAGACCAGCCCGGAGTATTTCGTAGGCAATTCGTGTGGATACGCCATCTAGTTCAGCATAAGTGAAATCACCATCCCATGAGCAAACGGCTGGGGCATCAGGTTGTTGCGCGGCGATTTCTCCAAAGATGCCGTGGATCGTTTTCTCGGCTCTCTCTAGGAAAGTATCGTTCCAGCTCCAGATCTGCTTCAGGTCCTCCAAGCTACTTGTATCGATCAGAGAAACAGGCTTGTCCTGGACTTCAGGCAAGGAGATTTGCCTCAAGATGTTCTCAAATCGGTCAGCAAGACGACGGAATTGGGATGGAGATACCACGTTAGAGTCGTAGTCAGCGCGAAGGAAAATGCTTTCCGGCTTAAGTAGGACCTCTAGGAGAATGGCATAGTTTCTAAAAGGGTCAAGGCCTTCAGCTTCGGGTTCTACGAAAGAAGATTCGAATAGAATATCTTCCGCATCCTGGTTGCGTCCGGTCTGGATGACCATGAGTGACTGGAACTGACACGCGAGATCACAGTTTTCGCTGATACGTCGTATTTGCTGAAGTCCGGTTTGTTCAAACGGCATCATATCTGCAGCCTGTAACTGTACTTGTTGAAGTAATTCTTCTACGGTCTTTGAGCGATCGATTGCCACTCGTAGCGGTACTGTGGCGATTGTTGGGCCGCTAATATTCTCCATTCCGGGTACATTCGCTTGTCTACCGGATACTGTTGCACCAAACGAAGCATCTGCAGAGTTAGTGACTGTCGATAACAAGATGGCCCAGGCAAGCCTGATCTTCGTGGCCGCCGTGTAGTCATCATCGGAGACGATGTCCTTGATGTCGATCTCCAGACGCTGGTCACATCTTGGCTTGTAGGTCTTCGAAGGAAGGATGGGGAAATTCTGCGCGTTAAAGTTCTGGAACTGATTTTCCCAGAATTCCTTCGCCCCGGCTCCGTTGGAGTCTTGGACATACTTTATAAAGGCCTGGAAAGGAGCAGCATCTTCAATTGGCTCTGACCGGTAACTTCTGACCAAAGAGTCGAAGATGAGGGGCTCAGACCATCCATCATAGAGAGAGTGGTGAATGCTCCATGAGAAAGAAGACTCCGATATTTTATAGTTGACCAGGGGGGTGCCAAGTCCAAATTGCTGCGCTGGTACGCCGTTTTCAATGCCGCTGCTTTCGTGTCGGACAATGACCTGGACGAGGCCTTGATGAGGAAGCTCGATGATCCTAGTTCTTAGAATAGGGTGTGCTCGAACGACATTTTCCCATGCGGCACGGAAACGACTAACATCGACGTCTTTTCTGAAATTCCACGTCTCAGTTAGAATGTTATCACCTGGTCTTCGGACAGTCTCAGCCAGCAATCCTGCTTGCAAAGGTGTGCTAGGGAAGACATCTTCAATATCGGCGACCTCAAGGCCTGTGAGTCGCGCTGCTTGATTTCTGGCCTCTTCCACCGAGATTTTGCTATCAATGAGTGAGAAAGGCTCAATGACAAACTCAGTTGATTCCAAAGTGGGCTTTTGCGATTCAATCAACTCTGCCAAAGCGCTGAGCTTGGGCCTCCTGAAGATATCAGCCACACTGAGCGAAACATTGCGCTTTCGGGCAGAGCTAACAAGCCTCATAGCCCCAAGCGAATCTCCTCCAATGCGGAGAAAGCTGTCGTCAGCCGAAATTGTGGCTGGATCAATCTTCAGAATATCCGCCCAGAGACCCTGTAAGAACTTCTCAGATGGGGTCCTCGGAGCCCGATGAGCAGTTACGCGGAACACGTCTTGGGCGACAAGTTGCTCCAGCGTCTTTTGCTCGTAAGTTGCACGCAAAGCTCTACGGTGGATCTTGCCAGTAGCAGTCATGGGGAATTCCTCTAGGGCGATATAAGCGGTCGGAATCATGTATTGGGGTACCATTTCTGCGAGCCGCTCGTCCACCCCGGCAAGCTTGTGCCTGGCGTCTGGTTCCTCGGCCTTCAAGAATGCAACGAGAATAGGATTATCACCGTTGAGGGGTTTGAAGACGTCAGCAATAACTTGAGCCTTAAGATCACCAGCATTAAGGGCTCTCTTCAGACTATGCTCGACTTCACCAAGCTCTGTCCTTTGGCCGCGAATCTTGACCTGTGAGTCTATGCGACTAACGAATACGAGAGCGCCGTCAGCGCCATAACGAACCAGGTCGCCAGTGCGGTAGAAACGACAAGGCGCATTGCTGTCGTCCGTCCACTTCGGTCTCGTCAAGAACGTGGCAGCAGTTCTTGTCTCATCTCCTATATAACCACGTCCGACCTGGGGTCCCTCCAGCCAAAGCTCACCGACGGAGCCCAATGGAGCAAGCCTCTCTGAACCATCCGTTCTCACGATCCACGTATGGAGACCTATGCCAACTCCGATAGTGTTGGGGACCATACCTCGGAATGCGCGAATAAGACAGGATTTGATTGTACATTCACCCGGACCATAACTGTTGATCAGTTTTGTGTTGTCAATCCAATCAAGGAAATCTGCCTCGGCCCAGGCTTCTCCACCCATCAAAACCTGCTCAATGTCAGGGAGCTGCTTAGGGTCAAGATGGCGCAGAACGGAGGGAGTCGCGTTTAAAAGTGTAGCTTTGCTATCCCTGATGGACTCCAAAAGCGCGTTACTTCGCTGGTGTTCTGATGGGATACATAAGCAACTACCGGATGTAAGTGAGTGCAACACGTTTGACCAACTAGCGTCGAAAGCATAAGAGGCGAAATCGTAGACTCTCTGGCCAGCTCTAAATCCGAGAGCTTTCTGTTGGTTTCGGATAGAAGCTGCAAAATTGGAGTGTGTAATCATAGCACCCTTTGGCTTGCCCGTACTTCCTGACGTGAAGGAGACGTAGAGGAGGTCCGACGCCTGAACTTCTTGTGGTAGAGACTGACCTGCCTCTGGATCTGGTAACGAGTCCATATGAGCTTTATCGATGACAAGGAGCCGTACTCTCTCAAAGTTCGCAGCTCTCTCCACGTTGTCGGCTGATGTCAAAGCGAGTGTAGCATTTACTTGACTGACGATGCTACTAGCTCGTTCGATAGGCTGTGTGCTGTCAATCATCACACCAGCCCCTCCAGCCTTCATCACGGCTACTACACAAACTGGCACCCACATAGACTTTTCGAAGTAAAACGGCACGATAACTTCAGGGCCGACGCCAAGCTGAACCAATCGATGGGCCAAACGAGTTGAAAGTCGGTCAAGCTGGCGGTATGTGAGCTGTCCATCCCAAGATGATATAGCGGGAGCGTCTGGCATTGTCTGGACTGTTCTTGCGATGAGATTGTGGATGAGATCTTGGACTTCTTTATACGGCGTCGCGTTCCAAGCAAAGATAGTTTCGAGATCTTTTGCAGTAATGGTATCAATCTCAGATAAAGTCGAGGAGGACTTGACGGTTGAACTGATTTGACGAAGCACTGCCTCAAGCTGCGAAAGGAGCCTGGTGACTTGTTCGGTACTGATAACATGCTCGTCAAATTTAGCATTTAGTTTAACACCAGAGGCAACAACGGCGAAGTCTATAAACAGCGCCCGGCTCGTGTTAGAATCAGCATGCGAGTCTTTCCCTTCGTCTTGGGCTGACGCTCTGCTGAAACTCAACACGGTCTGGAAGTCGCCGGCAAGAGCCGATTCGTCACTTAGCTCACGCAGCCTATGAATTGCAAGTAGAGGCAGCTTTGACCAAGTTACTACAGTTGATTGGACTGAGTCAAGGTAAGACGAGACGCTCTGGTTGAGATCAACCTTCGTCCGAATTGGCGCTGGGATTCTACCACTTGTCGCTCCAAATTCGCCGCCTAGCGAGCTAGCACCGACTAATACGTCGGTAGAACTTCCATAAGACGCTTGCAGAAGAGCCCATGATGCAAGTATTTGCGCGCTCACATCATAGGCGTTTCTCCATTCCAAGTTCTCAATTACATGAGAAGCCGCGGCATTGGCAACTGGTTTGAGAGACGTCGGGGGTAGCACTGGGAAATGACAGCCGGGTTCAAGACCCTGGAACTGAGCTTTCCACTGTTCGACAGCATATGCTTCGTCCGTACCGACCGTATGGTAGAAGTAGGCATCATAAAACGACTCGTTGAACTTAGCGTACGATGCAGCAGCCGGTGTATCTTGCTCCGTCACGGAACCGAGGAAGTTGATAGCATTTTCTAAGGCGACTTGGATTGCCCAGGCGTTTGTCGGGCTGATAAAGTCAGTTCGATATTGAAAGCTGACTTCGGTATCGCCCTTGTCAAGGGTACCAGCCAAGACCAAATCGTACTATGCATCGTCAGAAACAGAAATTTAGCAAGTTAAGATATCGATAACTTACCTCATGCGGGTCCTCCTCTGAGATTTCCTCGAGCTGAATGCTTCCATCAGCAGCAGAGGAGACTCCACGAGCTTCACGAACCGTGATATTCGAATTGAAAAGCTGCTTTACTGAGATCTCGTGTTGAATCTCTGCCAGCGACACATATTGGTTCTCCAAATGCTCAATGTTGTACTTGTTGATGGCAGCTATTATATCAGGCAAAGACTGCTCCAAATCGACGCGCGCGATCAGCATGTTGATCAAGGGACCAACAATATCCTCGATGCCATCAATTGGAGTATCGCGACCAGACGAGATATAGCCAAATAATACCTGTCGCATACCAGTGAAATGCGAAAGCACCAATGACCAGGCAAGGTGAAGAAACGCGGACCGAGTCAGCCCCTTTTCGCGACATATACTGGAAATAGGTGCTGTAACAGCAGTTGGCAGAGTTATCCACTCATACTTACCTTTACGCTCTGTCTTTGAGCGATTCAAGGCCTTGTCTCCCGGTAAGTTACAGCTCTTGACGTCAGCTAGGTACTGCTTCCAGTAAGACAATCGATTCTGAGCTGAGGTGCTTTGGATATGTTCAACATAGTTCCGGAAGGGCGGGCGCAACGATAGACTCTGTCCTGAGTATGCGTTCTCAAGATCCCCTATTATAACCGGTATAGACAAGGCATCCATAAGGGCGTGTGTCATTTCCAGCCGACACGCGATGTCGCCCTCCTTGCCAGTGCATATCGTGAAGAAACAATGCGGCTGAGAAGGAGAGGTTTTGAAGCCTTCCATATTGGTCAGATGCTCAACGGCCGTCTCAGAATCTGTAGCCTGCGAGATTGTGGCCTCATTGAAATGGTTCAATACAATTTGAACATAGCGGCCAGTATCAGGATTCGTTGAGAACACGGTAGAGAATACAGGATGTGCGCGCGAGACCCTCTCCCATGCTTCCTTAAGACGAGAGGCAGAGACCGCTGATCCTGTAGAGGTCGCTTGCCAAATGTTGACGCTGTGATAGGATGCAGTGCCTATGTTGGAGCTAATAAGGATACCCTCCTGCATAGGAGTGCAGGGATAGATATCCCGCACATCGGTCACTTTAATTCCTTCACTCTCCAGTTGTGCAGTGAGCGCCTCTAGGCCAGTATACGAAATGTCGAGGAGTGGGAAGTCGGCGAGAGTGTGGCGAACTGGCAAGTTGGCAAGTTCATGCGCGACACTTGTAAGGGTCTTTGCGTATAAGTCCGCCCAGCGAAGTACCGACTCATGGTTTCGCATGTGTTTATGAGAGCTTGTGAAGATCTGTAACTTACCTTCCTGGACGACGAGATTTATGTCAATAAGAGAAGGCCGCTGATAATCGGCGCCATCTCCAGGAATAAACACATTGCGGTCCTCCCTGTCTTCAAGCTTGATGATGGATTTGGCGTCTTCGAGCTGCTGGAATGAACCTCGATAGTTGAAAATTAGTTCAACATGCTTGTGAGACTCAAAGGCTTTCCTTCCGGCTTCGCTATAGAAGCGAGAGGCAAAGTAGGGTCTGCCTTTACCAGGCACTCTACTGCGGACATCCTTGGCGAACTTGATCATGTCAAGAATGGAGTTTTCCGGACCACCACCAAGCTCAATAGGATGAATAGAAGTAAACCATCCGACAACTTCAGACAAATCAAAGTCATCCATCCCGGCTACGGGCTCACGACCATGGCCTTCGAGGAATACAGGGGGAGGACGTCGATCAGGGAAGGTCTGTGCAAAACTGAAGATAAGGGTTCCCACGAGAATGTCTAAAATCTCGGTTCGGAAACTATCATTACTCGCGCCTAGAAGCAGAGCAGTTGCTTCAGCGTCAACGACAGACAGGTTCAACTCAGCGTCCCTAAAGAACACCTCGCCAGGCTTCACGCCCCAGTAATCGAAATTCGCTGGGGTAATATCAAATGGCAGAACAGTTGCAGGACAGAGTTTCTCGCCCTCCTCCCGCTGCAGTCTGCACCACGCTTGGAAGGAGAGCTCGAGCGGTGGTAGATGCGTGGCACCCGATAGGTATTGGCTTAGCTCATGCCAAATAATACGCCAGGATACCAGGTCCATCACGACGTGGTGTGCGCTCATGAGAAGGGTTTGCGCTCCATCAGGACTATTAAAGACGTCCACGGCAAAGACGGGACCACTGACGAGGTCCAAACCTGCTTGTCGCTCTTGGACCACAAGCTCAGTAGACGAGCGGTCTATGAAATCATGCTCTTTGAGGAGAAATGAGTTAGGTCCAGCTGGTGCAATATATTGCTCCCAGGTAGACTCCTCGGTGTGCTTACGGAACCGGGCACGGAGCATGCTATGACGAGTAGTGAGAGTTAGGAGCGCCTCAAGTAATTCCTGATGAGTGGTCTGTCTAACCAATTTGACGATAAAACTAAGGGTATAATGGTTAACGCCTTGAGGATTGTTGTCAAAGAATATTTGCTGAATAGGCGTTAAGGACCAAGATTTGCTCTCGTCGGTTTGTGTACTCTCCAAATTCACCTTCTCTTGAACAGGCTTGCTAGACTGGGCTAGAAGCCGGACTGTTTGGAATTTCAGGATATCTGCAACTTTAATAGAAATATTTTGCGAGCGCGAACGCGAGACGACCTGCATGGCGGTAATAGAGTCGCCGCCCAGACGCGTGAACGCCGAGTCCAAGCTAATACTTCGGATAGGAAGATTCAAGACCTCGCTCCAAACTTGACGGATCTTGGCCTCTAATTCAGAAACCGCTTCTTCTTCTTCTTCTTCCGGCACTGATTGGGCATTCAGTTGTTGCCAGTATAGCTTCGCGCCGCTTTCGCGAAGGCGTCGACGGTCCACTTTCCCAGTAGGTGTCATCGGTACTTCTTCAACAGGAAAAAAGGCTGAGGGTATCATATAAGGTGGTACAAATTTGGATAGGCGGTCTTCAATGCCCACTAGAGCTTCGTGAAGGATTGGCCTCGCATCCTCCGACGACACTCCTGAACTGACCGCCATGAAAATAAAAGATACAAGCGTTGATACATCGCTGCCATCCGGCTTAATGACCTCGGCGATAATCTGCACATTCTTGGCCCTGGCCTCGTCCGTTAAGGCGCGCTGAAGATTGTACTCAATCTCTCCAAGTTCAACACGCTGGCCACGAATCTTGACTTGAGAGTCCTTGCGGCCTACGAACTCCAAATTGCCATCCAGCCTGTAACGAACAAGATCACCCGTCCGATAAAGACGTCCCCGGCGGCCAGTGTGGCCTTTGATGCCCGAGAGGCTAGGGCAACCACGTAGAAGCCATTTTGGATTCTCGACAAACGTCTGGGCTGTCACCTCAGGGTTGCGCAGATATCCTTGGCCGATTATAGGACCTTCAACCCACAACTCTCCTATCTCTCCGATAGGCACAAGGTCACTCCCATCTAATTTGGTGACCCATGTACAAACGCCAAGACCAGTACCAATTGTTGGGTCGTTGTCATCGTTAGGATCCGCCACAATTGCAGTGCTGACGGTTGAGCACTCGGCGGGACCATAGGCGTTGATGACTGTTGACTTGGTAGACAACTCCTTGACAAGGGCCGCTTTAAGTGGTTCTCCTCCAAAATGGATAGTACGGAGACTGGCAGGGAGCTCGGAAGCAGGGAACCAAGCCACTGAAGGAGTGAGGACAGCATAATTGACTTGGTATTTACGAAGAGCTCCCGCAAGGTCTCCTTTCCGTTCTTCATCGGAAGGGATACAGAGACAGCCTCCGATCATGATAGAATGTATAAAGTTACACCAGGCAGCGTCGAATGCATATGAGGCAAAGTCGAAGACTCGATCAAATTCTCTGAAATCTAGGCCTTTCTGCTGAGTAGCAACCGCGCTGGCATAGTTCGCGTGGCTAATAATAGCGCCTTTGGGAGTGCCTGTGCTTCCTGATGTGAAAACTATGTACAGCCAGGACGAGGGGCTGACTGTTGGAAGGGATGTGGGTTGAGCGGTGGGCCAGTGCTTGCTTGAGGTGTGATCCAGAACGAATTGGGCACAACCCAGACCCAAAGCTTTGGCTTGATCTTCGCATGTTGGCGACGTTAAGATAGCTGAGGGTTGGACTAGCTCGGCAATAGCCTGCTGCCGTTGAAGTGGGAGAGACGCATCTAGTACGGTAGAAACGCATCCAGATTTCATAATTGCTAGTTGGGCGACAGGGACCCATTTTGACTTTTCGATGAAGACAATGATAGTGCTATGGGGTTGGAGTCCGTGGTGGATAAGAACATGAGCCAGACGAGTCGACAGATCATCTAGCTCACGATATGTCAAGTCGCCATCGTGTGCTGAAACAGCCAGCAGATCAGGATGCCGTCGTGCTCTCTCCATGAATGCTTCATGTATACATACATCGTCGACTCCCCGCGGGGGTCGAGCATTCCAAGACCAGATGTAATCAAGGTCTTGGACTGAGATGGCCTTCAAGTCGACAAGCGGCTTCTCACCGCCATCGGGAAGGCAAATCTGGCGAACAATGTACTCATATTGCCGCCTAAAGAGGTGAAGGGATAAAGCCTTGTCAGAGGGGCTACCGTGAGTAACTGCCCTCGTACAAATTTGGTCATCGTGTATGTAGCACTCGAGTAAGATTTCTCTGGAGCCAAGTTGGTCTCGAGTGATAGAGATTAAAAACGTATATTCCCCCTCTCGTTCTTCACTCGATGTACTGGCATCATCTGAGGATGTTGCCTCTACCGCACCTAGGAGAGCATCCTTAAGTTTAGACTTGACTTGGCGTGTAAGGTCCCCAGCTTGGGAGCTCCATTGGAAAGGTATGTTGAGGGGGCCGGTGAATTCTCCTGATCCAGGGGCGAATATGCTAAGTTCCGCCGTGCATCCGTGGGACGACAGGAGAATAGTCCAAGCCGTAAATGCTTTGACGGCCGCTGAAATTCCAGAGCCGAGTTCTGGGATGAGAAGATCGAAGATGATTTTCCTCTCATGTCTGTTGGACTTCAAAAACGAAGCGTAGTCCGGAGATGGGGGGCTCGATATCGAGCTTACAGACACGTTGATGTCATTCTTAAGAGAGCTATGGCTAGCAAATACGGCGTTGTTCTGTGAGACAATCATGGTTACGAACAGCCATACCTTCGTCCAAGCTCTTTACAATAATGACGGCGAACAAAAGACGTCTACGACAGAAGGGAGATTTTATAAGTTTGCCATATCTTTCAGAGACCCGCCATAGGAATATCTCCCCACTATACTATAGCCTGAGTACTTGGCTACCCAGGTAAGAGACATAAGACTTCAACGAGTATAGCGGCATGCCATTTTAGGTACTACGTAATGTTCGAAGTATTCTTTTTCTTCAACCCAAACATATAATTAACTATACCTTAGGTAGGTACCTTATAAACTATGCTAAAAGAAAAATGAATTAATTCGTGAATATATTATAATTAAACCTTTAAATATCTTTAATTAATTAACTACCTATTTACTAATTTAATTATTTATATATCGTTTATAAGTCTTTACAACCAAGTACTATAATCGGTAACTTGACTTTTGCCATAACAGGGGCAGCTTGGCAAGTAAGAATTACAGATCCAACCCCGGGGTATCTTTAGCCCAAGCTCAGGGGTATCGGAAAGGTACATACCAGCCTCGCGCAGGGTTTATTAAGGATCGGGCAAGGATTCCTTCCAATCAGGCTCGAGCTCTCCTACGCATTTTGGATCCCGAATGGCGTCGACTCCATCTGGGACCTAGGTGAGCCTAGCCCGTGCCCTGGGAGACAAGGTAAGACGGAATGCCGTTGACAAATTGCGGGTTCGCAAGCCCAACGTAGCTAGTTGGTGATCAGGGCTCCTGCGGCACGGTACGAGACGTTGCAGGAGAGGCTATTCTAGAAAACACAAGGATATCTCAGATAAACGCGAGACCGAGCTAGAGTTGTGCTTGGCCTTGGAAGCTCCCGTTTTTAGTGTCCTCCTTTAGTTTGTAGCTCATAGCTAATTTTATCAGGTAATCCTTTGGGTCTGTATAAATTTTGCTTTCACTTACACCGTCTCTTCTCCTCCTATTTCTACCACCCGCCTTTCCGCGTTCTTTTTGCAGCGGTACAATTTTGATCCAGGGCGCGATGGTGTCCACGCAGCCCAGTACCGGTCGGTCCAGTACCATCGGCGGCAGTATCAGTAGCGAAGATGTCAGTAGAGCCAGTATCAGTAGCGCGCCAACGCCTATGCTGAATAATACTGCGTGTCCTGTAGTAGCGTCAAGTGAGCCTGTGACCGAGTCCACGTCGAAGGGAGAGAAGGTAGTAACGGATGGGTCCCAGATAGAAGCAGTCCCCGCCGCTGCAGATTTGGAAGATTCTGACCCCAGACTGCCCCAAAACTGGTCCCGTACGCGGAGGTGGCTCATCATAATCGTCCTGTCCTTGATGTCCTTGATGGTGTATGTTCCAAGTATCCTTGTGATGGTGATAGCAAGGTGTGCTAATGCCAAATGCTTAGTTCCATGTCTCTTGTCATCAACGCTCCTGCAAGCACGTCTATCGAGAAGGAATTCAACAATTACGACAACTTTCTTTCAATCTTCTACATCACCGTTCCTAACCTGGGCCAAGTCGTCTCCGCCTTCTATGTTGGCCCACTGTCCGAGCGTTTCGGGCGCGTGCCTGTCTGTCACTTCTTCAATGTCCTGTTTCTCATCTTTACCATGATCGCAGGATTCAGCAACAGCTTTAGCATGATCATTGTCTTCAGGTTTTTAGGTGGCGCGTCCATTGCCTCTATTGGCCTAAACCCCTCCATCACGGGGGATCTCTTCCCTATCCACGAGCGTGGATCCGCCATGTCAATAACAAGTTTAATCCCTATCCTTGGCAGCGCCGTCGGCCCAATTGCTGGGGGATACATCACGCAGTACCTCAACTGGCGCTGGACGTTCTGGATTATGGCTATCCTCACGGCGGCTCTGATGCCTGTCCTGGTCATTGTTATGAGAGAATCGTATGTCCCGGTAATACGCCGAAAGGCACTCAAGAAGGCTAGCCTTAGCAAGGAAAAAGTCAAGTCGCCACCAAAGTACTTCACGGGGTGGAACATGACAACAGTCAAGACGCTTGCCCTGCTCGTGGTACGCCCCTTCATCATCTTAGGAAGTTCCCGCATTGCAGTGCTTATGGCGGTGTATGTTGGGGTCATATTCGGTTATCTCTCCCTTCTAGCTTCTACGAACGCCACCGTCTTTCAGGAAGTCTACGGGTTTTCCGAGAGTGAATCCGGTCTCATCTACATTGCTACAAGTAAGTCTAAAATCCTTATCCTGGCTCTAGCAGTAATCCAACCTTCACAGCTATCGGCACGATTAGCGGAATGGTCATGTGCCGCTTCACCCTCGACTTTTTCTTGCTACGTGGCTTTTCGATGAAGAAGCCAGACGAGAATACTACGCCGCATCCCGAAAACCGACTAATTCCTACCATTCCTGCCATGGTGGCCTTCCCTGCTGGCCTCCTGATTTATGGGTGGTCTCTAGAGAAGCAATTCCACTGGATCGTTCCCGCCCTCGCCACCGTGTTGTACGGGTTTTCCTTATCGAGTAGCGTCACACCCATCATGAATTACCTCGTCGATATCTTCGGCGACCGCTCGGCCTCGGCCGTCGCGGCTTGTCTTCCTCTGCGTTACATAGGCGGGGCCTTCTTGCCAGTCGCCGCTCCATATTTATACGAAAGGCTTGGCTATGGATGGTCCAACACATTATTGGCGTTTATACTAATTGCCGTTGTGCCCGTGATGTTTTTGGCGATTGTAAGACCACAGAGGGTAGGGATCCCGGCGACGGTCGCACGGTGAGTAAACAGACCTCATACTGAAGAATACTACGGGAGCAGCTTTTTTTACTAGATCAACGTTCGCGACGATTTCTAAATGGATAATGGGTGATGGGTAATGGGTGAATGAATTAATTCAGTCGACGTGGGCTATACAATACAATAAAGATCTTACCGTACATAGACAAATATTACAAGAGTACCTACATTTAGATCTTAATCGTCGATGTTTTCTTTTAGTGCTCCATTGCGCAAACTGCCAAGTAGGCTGAGTGGAGAACTTATACGGATAGTGAAGTAAGAGCTAATGACATATCAACCACCTCGGGTTAAGAATTGAATAAAAAGTACAAAATAAATTAACGGTACATGCTATTCCGTTACTATTACGTCAGTGTAATGATGGCATTTAGACAGCCAAGTGATCAGGCAATCAAGTTTTTGGCTTGGATGAGCTAAGCTAGGTTGAAGATCCTACATTCGATACACTAGTATAGGTAGTCTTAGCAGATCCGTGCTGATCAGTTCGCTTATTAAGATCAGATTCAAGGATAAATTTACAACCCTGCCGAAGGCATATTCGGATGGTTTTCAGTTCAGCTGAACCGATTTCAGGACCTGATACGTGCGGGAGTGGGACTTCAGGGGTTAAACATATACAAACTGGAAATTTCCAACGTTGTCTTTTCTAAATCCACTTATTCGTCCCCGGGAGAGTATAACCTTCGCAGTAGAAACCGAGATTAGCCCCGCTTGTGTAACCTGACATATAACTTTCTATGCCTTGTCCGGGCATTATGCGCTTGTTATGTAATTGATGTAATAAATCTGTGTATAATAATCAAGTTTATTATCTTGATGAATATTTATTACATAACAATATGAAACAGAATAAGCTGACTACCTTACCTATAGAGTTCGCGCCACTGGAGGCAGGTTGATTTGATTTCTCTTCCCTCAGTCGCTTTAGGTACGAGGGTCTGTATTCATCACGATCACTAATAGTGCTAACATCAAACAAGCCTCGTATAACGTGCTCGAGGTCACCGTCTAAGTGGCGTCTATGTTTATGTGCTTATGTGGCGCATGATATTAGTCTTAACTTAAACATCACTGCCTTGACTGCATGAATCTCGACTTCTAGAATAATGGAGCTTTGATCCTTGTCCAGCATGCGGTATACTAGCCTTACGAGGTATTGTATGCACTGCAACATCAACCAAGTAGGTACCTACCTAGGTATGTAGGTGTGGAATCTGCAGCGATAATTATAACCATCTTCGGCATATTTCAATGATTTGTATTTTAGTCGCACTATGTAGTATAGCTTATCAGCAATAAGATGGCACAGCAATATCTTCCAGTTTGAAAGTTATTAGGTACTAATGTTTCAAGATATGATGCAATAATACGCTAGATTAGTTCATAAGAGGTACTTAATATTATACTGTGCCGCAGCGGATGTTTAACTCCCTAGCAGCCTAGGTAATTGATCCTAAAACTTCATTCTCAATGCAACCTGCAAAGTGACGAGGCCTACATGTTGGTTACTCAAACATAGGTAGGTAGGTATGTAAGCGCTGGTACCCTGTTCTGCCTGTTGAAATTAGATACACGTGTATAAGAGGAGTCTAAATGATAATCACCTCGATTCCGATTGGTCTAAAAGTAAGGCTTCTTCAGCTGACCTCGGCTTCCCCCGCACCGTTCTTCGGACTAGTTTGCGGGATGGGGAACCGACAAAACTCTAGCCGATTTAAGTTAGCAAACGGTTAGGAGACCGGCACTAGCCTTCGAAATCCGCGGAAAGGCAAAAGAGGCGAGAGGAAAAGCGGGCCAATGTAAGATCGGCCCGTGCCGGCTCAAGAAAGTGCGCATCCTGTTTACACTACGTACCCAGGTACCTAGGTAGTAAAAGCTGCTAAGCTTTTAACAATCTCTGAGGGAGGCTTATTTTAATGTACGCCAAGCTAATCCAAGCTAATTGCCACATGTACGCCGAACACGAGAGTTATGAACGCTTGCTTATTGAGCGCAATTGAACGAAAGTAAGCTCAATGTTTTCAGCCAATTATTTCTAATACTGTAGATGCCCATACATACCTATCTAAGACCTTCAGGGACGGCCCGAATAAGACTTGCTCTGATCTTTAACGCCAGCACGTTACAAACCCCACTTATGAAGACATCGAAGTAGAGGTACATGCACCCTTTCATTTTAAACTTTAGGGGACAACCTGTTTCCTCGTAAGGCTATGTACCGAATATTTACGACACGCTCCTGCATTAGCGTCCACGTAACCGAGGACTTTATACGATCTTACACCAATTAGGATGCTAGAATAGTAGATCACGACTTAGTGAAAACTTCTTGCATGTTTTTTGATCAATGATATTGGTAACCTCGGTTAGACACACCCACGTGTTTACATATATGATGCAGATATTAAACTAGGACCCCAGGTAATACATCTGGTA